AGTTCGCAAATCACAGGATAAAGTATTTGTGGCATTTTTCTGATTTTTTTCATGAATTCTTCACATATGTACTCTTCTCTTTTTTCTTATCTGCAAGTCCGAAGACCAAGCTCCTTGCTCCCAATAGCATATGTAGTGCCAGTAGAATAAGACTGCTGAGTAGCAGGGGATCGTTTTGCAATCCAGTTAACTCGGGGTTAAGAGGATTTCAAGTAAGCAATCATAAGAAAAGACGAGAAGAGAAGTGATGCAGTTCTGTTAAAACTCTTTTTATCTCCACTTCTAAAATGCTCCTCAGTGTCCTAATCATCTCTCATTTCCAATATTGTACCCCTTGCTTTGCTCGCCTGCCCTCCTGCCAATTCTTTCTCTCCTGTCACTTGAAAATTGCCATGTGAAAATCAACTTTTATTGCCGTCAATTCACAATGTGTATGTGTGTGTGCATTTGTGTGTGACTTTTAGATTCATTCTAGCTTTTGTGTAAGTGCTATTCCTATGTAATTATTTGTCCTCACCCATTCTCTTTGTCTCTCTGCTTCCACTGGCATAGATCGAGAAGGACATTATCAATGCAAGCTTGAGTTCCAGCAAGTCCTGGCTGACCCATACAGTTGTACAGGTGCTGGCTCCCATAAGAGAGCTTGGTCATGAAGGTAAATGAGGCTTAAATCTAATATATATTTCTCTTGTCAAACTTTACCCCTTGGATTGCTTGGCAGGAGTGTGTGCATGTGTGCATGTATGTGTGTGTGAGCACATATGTCTGAAACTATCCACCAGAATAGGCACCTTTTTGTTCTAATTTGTGCAAATGCACCATATAAACTAGCAGTGCCCCTTAGTGAGGGCCTAAAATGAAATTCTAGATGAAGCAAATTAAATTCTTTCAAAGTCTTCTATTTGCACAATGACTTGAATAGTATGCCTTTGTGTCCTATAGATAGATATATTTTGTGATGGAACAAATTCATTTTTATTATTAGTTAAAAACCTCATGGGATTCATATTTTCATCTGATTTGCATCATTTATATATTTCAATATAAAATATTAGAATTTAGTAAACAGATTCCATCAGCTGAAATAAACAAACAACTTGTATGTTAAGTATGTTATTAGGACATTTTCCAGATTTGTATTTATGAAGATACTCCTTTTTCAGTGTCAACAAAAGTAAAGATTGCTTTAACTATACTGCTATACATATTTACTAAGGACACTACTGATTTCATTTGTCCTTCTCTAAGTATCTGATAGTATTCATTTCAGTTGATTCTTTAGAAAAATGGACTCAAAATGATCTCCTAAAAGACTAAAAATACGTGGTTTTTTATGTTATGTAGTTTTAGTTTTTTTCTTTTACTGTTCTCTAAAAATTTTTAATTTTCAATTATCATGGTGCCTAATAGTTGTATATATTTGTGGAGTACTTGCGATATTTTGATGCAGGCATATAACATGTCATAATCAAATCAGGGTACCTGAGGTATTGATAACATCAAGCATTTATCATTTATTTGTGTTAGGAACATCCCGGTTCCATTCTTTTACTTATTTTTAAATATACTGTAAGTCATTAACTATATTAAACAATACTAGAATACTAGATCTATTAGTTACTGAATACTATATCCTATTCATTCTTACTGTATTTTGCACACATTAACTATCCCCACTTTATCATCCTCTCCCCGCTACCCTTCCCATCCTCTTGTAACCAATATTCTGCTCTCTATCTGCATGAGTTAATTCTTTAACTTTTTAGCTTTCACATATGAATGAACATGTGAAACATATGAACATGTGAAATTTATCTTTTTGTGCCTGGCTTATTTCACTTAATATAATGTTCTCCAGTTCCATCCATGTTGTTGCATGGACACAATAGTAATATAAAAGTAATTTGGGAACATATTTAGTATATTTTATTCGGCTTCTTCAGCATATCGTTCATTATTAATTCTATGTTATTGACATTTTTATGAACAAGGTACATTTTCTATACAGTTTTAGTACTTTAAGCATTTTAATAAAATATTTGGCAATCTTCATGAAAGTTGATTACAATAATTGAAAAAATTAATATTTTGCTTTCTTTAGTTTTCTCTGTAGACTATATTTCTAATTGAGAAAATATTTTCTATAATGTACTGAGGTAATTGGTAAGTTCAAAGAAAACTGTCAAATCAAAGATATCCTCAATTCTCTTATTTTTTCTAAGAAATATAAAAGTGGTTTCTAATATGTTCATAGGAACTATCCTTTTGGTTTTATCTGGTTAGTGTGTCTTTCTTTGGAAAACTACTTTTACAAGACATTGTCAAATTAGTTATATATATGATTTTTTCACATAATTAGATGTTTAAAAATCATTGGCCTTTTCAATTTCATTTTATACCTATACAGAATACACATTTATCTACCAAAATGAGTTACTATTAAAAATGTAATTAAAGAATTTCACAATTAAAGCCTCTATGTCATTTTGGCTTACAAAGTTTAATTTATTTCCACTGGATGTAGAAAGAATTTTCAATGTCTTCTTTCTTGCAAGCTTTATTTTCAATAATTACAATTTTCTAAAAGCACAAAAGCTGAAGTTTTTTGGCCCTTGATGTTGATATGATTGCTTCCTTAATTTTTAAAAGAAAAATGATTCAATTGGTCTCTCCTCAATTTTTCTGTGTTTATGAAGACTTTTCTTGTTTAGGCTCTTTAAATTAGCCTCCTTACCATTTTATATTATGATTTATGAAGTAAATACAATAAAAATAGAAAATATTAATATTTGTGATTTCTATAATTGATGCAGTATAAATAATAGCATTAACTGCTACCTGACTCTTACAAACTTAAATGCTAATCTAATAGGTTTCTTTCCTCCTGAAATCTCCTAACTTTCTATATAAAGGAATGAATATAATCAGATAGAAAAGTCAAATTACTTAAATGTATCTTTTCTTAATCTAGATAATACCAAAGAGTGGATAACATTGAAATGTTTTTATATTCACATAGATCATAATGAGATTTAAATAATATTAATAATTTCATATTATGTTTAAATCTGGAATTAACCTTAGATATCATCCAATCCCATATTTTATAGATTAAAAAATTTAGAATGTGTCAGGGACTGAAATATATTTTTCTAGTTTTAGAATTGAATTTAGTGAGTAATGTACATGTTCTTCCCAGAGTGTTTAAAAGCAATATGCTTCGGACAAGGTCCTTGTGATAAACAAGGCTGTTGCCTACAGGCATAACAAAGGACCTGAGCTGCAAGTAAGTAAGAACTGCCCAGCCCCATGGCAATGAGGGTCTGGAGGCCACACACAAACACATTGTTCCTGTGATTGCTGCATTCACCCCATTATATGGCTGGTTAGTCAATGACAGGTAAGACCCCTCAAGAAGAGGGGCAACCTAAGCCGGGCAGGGCTGCCAGGGGTCAGCCTAAGATCTTAGGAGGTCACTCTAAGAGAAGCTGGGGATGACAAATGCCCCCTGTGGCTTGCCTTGCCCATCCTTGCTAATCTTGGTCAGTGATCTATGCCTGGCGCCTAGAACAACCACCTGGAAATGCTGAGTCAGGGGATATCTGCTTCCCTAAGGCTATGCATTCTGGAATTTATGGCCATTGCTGAAATGCCTGAGTGGTTACTACAAGGAACTAACTTTAATTTTTTAGAGTATATTAGTACTCAAGTCAACCGTCTGTATGTGTGTCCACATTTTTTTGTGTGTTCTGCGTTTGTGTTTTGTGTTTGTGTTCCTCCTCCATCCTGTAAACGGGCCACATCAAGAATGAGGTTTGAATGACTCAAATAAGTTGATTCCCTTCCAACACGACAAGAATATTCTAAATTTATCAGTATGATAATAGTGAGGGACAACATAGTTAAAAAGAAGCAGTCTTTTAGGAAATACAGACATGTATTGAAAAGTATTTAAATTTAGTCCATCTATTTACTACTTCTTTGGCCTTTAGCCTTTTGATCATTTAACCATTTTAGGACTTAATTTTCTAATAAAAAAGATAAATTCTAAATAAATTAATATCATTGGTCCTACATCTGTTAATGTAATTTGGATCAACTTACTGAAATATTTATCAAGCAACTAACATTTGTAGCCCTTATGGGGCACTAAAATTTAGAGTTGAGGAGGAGATAATGAGAACATAAAACATGCTTTAATTCTAAACCCTTATTCTTGTACCTGCCTGAAAAAGTGTTTGTCCCCTTAAGCTGGTATCAGAATAATGAGGAAAAGCCAAGCTATATGGAAACAAGGATAAATGTTCAAGGAAATCTCTGAATTGCTAAACGTCCCACCATTAAAAAAATATTCAAATAAGTCTAGTATGTAGAGAATGTATTGGGAAGATGGGTGGGGAGTGAAAAGTAGTATAAGTTGTTACTATAGGAAGGAGCCGAACATGTAAGTCTTGTTAGGGGGAGGAGTGGGGCTGTATCCCAAGTTGACATGGGGTGGAAGGTCCACTTAGTGCCCTGCTGCCACAGCACCTTGACCTCATATGTGACAACATTCTACTCACCTGTACATTCTCCACTGACTTCTATGGGCTCGGTCTGAGCTTTGGCGTCTCACCTACACTGCTCAAACTCTGAAGCCAGGAAGACTGGCTGATCTCTGCTTCTACTGCTTTCCCTCAACTGCAAACGCCATACCTGCCTTTCAATGTAATTAAGACCTTTTGCCCTGTACTTTTTCCTCAGTCGCTATCCTTTGCTTCACTTCCTTCCTGTTAGGCTGAACCCAGAGGCTGGTGGGAGGTTCTATGGGAACTTTCCCTTTAAACTGGCCCCACCCCCTTCAGAGCCTGCCCAAACCCCACCCCATTTGAGAGTCCGCCCAAACTCCACCCATTTGAGAGCCCGCCCAAACTCCACCCCATTTGAGAGCCCGCCCAAACTCCACCCCATTTGAGAGCCCGCCCAAACTCCACCCCATTTGAGAGCCCAACTATAAAAGCCCTGGACGCCCGCCATTTTGGAACTGGCGCCATCTTGGCCTCTGTCCGTGGGTAAGCAGGGTTGGCCTCATGCCTTCTTCCCTCAGCATTTCTAACATTCCCCATTCTGCTGAAATTACAGGGATTGTTAAAAATGCCCCACACTATGATTGCATTTCAGAATTGTTTGCATTTTGTTTTTTGTAATTACAGATTTTTGTGTGCAGATTTTCGTGAGACTCCTTACTCATGGAATAAGGACCCTTTCCCACAAGGTAGGTTACAGCTTGTGAATAACTTGTCTGTGTTTTGAAAAGATCTACAGGTTGTTTTGGTGGAAATCCAATATTCTAACTGATGTTTCACTCACATCTTATGCTTCCTTCTCACTTGACTTTTTTCTTTCCCCCTTTGCCAAAATACGTGAACAAGTCTACCCCTGAGCACTAGGCATCTCAAGAAAAAATGAACCATAACCAAACCGTTTGTTGTCATCAAAAATCTATGATCTTTACCAAAACTTTGACTGTCAATTCCTAGAGACAAATTATTTTTTATTTTCTGGTAAGTTTGCCCTTCTGTATTTTTTGTGTGTGTGTCTGTTTTTTCAATTATTTAGTCTCTACACTGTCTTACCCAGCGTTCTCCCTTTGTTTAATCAGGTGGCTTTTTCTGTAATTTCCTTGCACCAAGCAGGGATTGGCATATGCTTCTTTTTATCCTAGCAGTAGGGAAAAGACCATTCTTCCAAGTGGGACCTGTGCTTCTAGGTCCCTTCTCAACCCATCTCCACAAGGACGTTACCTTACACATTATCCGATCATCTGTTCTGTTAGCATTTGCCTTCTGCTTCTCCATGTTCAGGGCTTTCTCCCCATAGACAGATAATGATCAGGATGTTTTTTATTCTTAAAACATGGCCAGTATTAACATGGCAACCACAGCTACCTATGCTCAGCATCTCCCAGCTTCTTTCCTCTCTCCTCTGCACAAACTCTTAAAGTTCTAGTAAAATTCTTCTATAAAACTACTACTGCAATACACTTGTTGCTCTCAAATTGCTATGGTAGTTTGCCTCAGTGGCATTTCATTCTGTGCTGTCCTTCTTTGCAAATCTCATTTGGCTCCCAGGACACTGCCTTCTCCTGGCCTTTCCGTTTCAAATTCTTCTGTGTATTTTACCTGTTGTTTATTCAACCTATTATTTAAATTGATGTTTCTCAAGAATACAGTTCCAGGCTCTCATCTCATGTTTCTCTGCATCTCTTTTCTCTCACATCACACTGTAATCTAGTTGATTAAGAGTCTGCATCAAATAAGAGAATATAATTTCTCTAAGGGCAATGATACTCATGTCTTATTTATGCATATCTTAGCTCGGCAGTAAGTGGCAGACTTTCTAATACATTGCAAGTGTTCAATAAATGTCTGCTTAATAACTATTTGCATAAATAAATGAATACTAGTTCTGAGTACAATGAAGCTACCTCATTTACTATTTGTTTGTAATTTTCTTAAATTCACTTGAGTGTCAGTTTCTTTACTTGTAAAATTCCCTGGACTATTTAAATTGTGTGTGCTTTTTTCATGAAGTTTCAATAAAATATTTTGTGCCATACTTGTCCCACACATAAACTAGATGCAGAACTGATCCTGTTTAGTTTATACAATTCCTTTACTGACAACTGAGAGCAGCACAGTCCAGGAACGTTCAGCTTCGTTATCCTACTGGTTAATTAGCAGGAGGAAGGGCACCAGAGAGGAAACTGAACTGTCCCTAAAGACTAGGAGAGGGAGGAGACTCTGTTGGAGCCATTCACCAAATTCCTCATACAACAATAAAGGATAAAAACCATCATTTGTTCTGGACATGTATTGAACATCTTTTCTTATAAAAACCCAGCCTGTTTTATGGAGGCATCTGGAAAGACATTAACTATTGATGAGGTATTTACAGAGGCAAGAAGGTGAATGAGATAAGATATTGCTGATAGGAGGAAGTAGCTGAGTACAATGGTTTTCTCCCTCAAGCAATGAACACATCAAATCAGAAAACCTCAGAAGTTCAGATTGATTGGAACCAGACTCAATTAAAAAATAATTATGAAAATCTTGTGAGCTGCTGTACATTGCATATCTATGGAGCAATAGAGATAAGAGAGGAAATAGCACTGCCCTGGAAGTGAGGAAATAGTCTATGGTTTCTCTGAGTCTGTCTCCTATTTTGAAAAACAGTGAGGTTGGACTACATAATTTCAAAGATCCCCGAGGCTCTGAAATCATAGAACTGTATTACTTCAATTAACCCATCCCCAAAGTGTAACTCTTGATAAGATAGGAATAGCAAGATACTCTTTCTCATATTCATATCATTGCCAAGGAAATCAATTAGAAATCAAACAATGTATGTTTTACTTAATACCAGAGATTAATAAGATGACTTTGTATAAAAGTCCAGAATATATAGGTCCTAGGTTTATGCTCAGAACAACTAACAGAATATATGAGACATTTCTCCCCAAATTTCTGATTTAATATGTGCATTTAATATGTGCATTAAATTTCCCAGTTTTAGCTCCTTTGGTGGTTACTGAATATAGCATAGTTTATGTGTGTACAGTTGTGAGCAGTTCCCTGTCTTTTTTCTTTTTAAGGTAACTTAAAGAGTATGTGTGTGTTTATTTTGTTTTTCCCTCAAATTCAGGGTCTGGATTTTTCAATCTTCTTCAAAGAGAAGAACTTAGGTCACTTGATTAATGATGATTATTAGATGAAATATTTTAGTTCCAAGGGAAAGCAATCACTAATGAAGATCCCAAATGACTGGCATGTTTCACTCAGTTTTTGAAATATGAGGCCTACCTAAATTATACCTTCAAAGTCTATATCAGAACTTCAGTGAGCAAGAGACGTAGGAAGCCTCCTAATAGACACTGCAGACTCCTCAAGGACAGGGCAGAACATGCCATCTCCATCCCCCAGCTCATCATAAAGATCCTCTACTTCATAGGTGCCAATAAAATGCTGCATGTGTGTGTCCAAAGAACAGCCACCTATTTAATTAGATTTAATCTAGGAGACAGTGGTGCAGAATGAAAGGAGTAGAGTAGCAACTCAACAATAAGTAAAAACGTTTTGGCCTTTTTTTTTTTTTTCTAAAAGGATATCACAAAGAATTACATATTTCAAGGAGAAGGAGAAGAATGTTCCAGTGGTTAAATAAGTTGTATCCTTTCCAACTAAATCCTGTCATGTAACATTGGCTTAGTAGATGTGAGTTTGATATATGAAGTATCAGTTTTGGGTGATGGATCTGACAGATCATTTCATTGGAAAAATAAGTAAAGGTTAAAGAAAATGTATTTTTAAACGGTATTTTCTACACCAAAACATTGAAGACTTTATTAGTCAGGATTATCCAGAGGAATGGAAACACTGGGAAACATATATATGTCCAGGTATATAGCTCCTAAATTGTATTCAGACCAATTACCTGAATATATGAGCCATCTCTCTCTCTCTCTACACACACACACACACTCTCTCTCTCTCTCTCTCTCTCTCTCTCTCTGTTGGTTATAAGGAATTGACTGATAACAATTATGAAGGCTAGCAAGTCTAAAATCTTAAACAGTTGATATTCCAATCTAAGTCCAAAGGCTGCAGCCTTCTGTAGAGCCAGAAAGAACTGACATCCCAGTTTGAAGGCCATCAGGCAGGAGAATTCTCTCTGACATGGAGGTGGGTCATCCTTTTGTTCTAATAAGGTTATCAACTGATTTAATGAGGCCCATGCAATCAGGGAAGACAATCTCCTTTACTCAGTCTCCTGATTTAAATGGTACTTTAATTCAAAAACCTCACCAAAACACCCAGGGTAACGTTTTATCAAATGTCTGGGAATCCCATGGTCCAGTCAAGTTGACACATACAATTAACCATCACAGAGACTAACAAACAAATAAATCTCCCTAATTTCACAAATGCAAGAAAAGAGCCAGAGGGGCAAGAGAGAAGAGTGACAAGCCTAGGACACAAAGCTTGGTGGAGGCTAGGTTAGGCCAAAGATCTAGACTTTGGTCTCTCAGACACAGGCAATTTTCATTGCTCCAGACTACTTCCTTTGCAGGTTGCTGTCTAAGTGATAAAGTAGACAAGGAAAGACTTGACAAGTTCTTTACTGCAAATGCATGACAAGAAATTTTACATCCATTTGTAAACAAAATAGAACATAAACAATAAAACAAAGTCTTCTAAGTTTATTTCATGTTCTTTAAATTTTCTCAAAGATCTTTGCTTTGCCTTTTGTTTTTAATTTGTGTTGACTACCAGGAATCATTTGTAACACATCTGAAAAGGATGATTACTGATCAATAAAAATTTATTTAAATATTAGTTGTAGTTTTTTGCATTTTTATTTCTTTCATTGTCTCCTAAACCAACTATGTAAGCAATTACCTAATAGAAGAGCAATCAAAATCATGTGGACCATGTCAGAATTGGCCTCCAAGAGGATTAATGTAATGACCATACTTTGTAATTTATCAAAATGCTAAGATTTAAATCTTTGAATTTTGATATTTTTAGGATTTTGACTTTTACAATCTGACTTTCATAGTATATAATGCAATTATCTGCTGATCAATTAGTAATAAAATACCAATTGAATGTTTTTCTTCATTGATAATGTATGGAAAAGTCTATGCCTCCTTCCAAAATGATTATAAAGTGAGAAATTTCTCAACAAATGTATTGTATTATATATCACACCATAGCTTCTGAGATCTGTACTCTCAGCCCACTTAGAAAGTGTTCTGTATGAAAACTCAAGGGCCTTCACATGTTTCCTCCACTTGTGGAAGTCAGAAAGAAAGTCAAAAAATACTGGTTGCTACAGAAAACATTTTCCTGCTGAAAATTTACATAATTGTTTAAGGAAAGGAATTGGCACTGAGCAAAGTCTACAGTGTTTCTAGAATGAAATTAAAGCATAACATAAACTAATTTTAAACATGTGACACAGATGTGCTAGGATATTTTTAATGCTAGCTCTCATCATTTAATCCTTATAACAAACCTCTAAAGGTAGATATTACTTCCCCAACCATAATTATGAAAAAATCAAACTTAAGAGAGATTTAGTGAGCTAGATGATATAGAGCTATTAAGTCACAGATAAATAGTACTAACAAAATATTGGTTAGTTCTAAAGCCCATAATTTTTGGTGGAGAGGTACCATTGATATCTTTTTAATATGTGCCAGCTGGAGCTGGA